GCCAATTTCCCAAAAAAAAATTATAAGAATAAATAAAAATTTATAACTTCGAATGAATGTATGAAATTGTACTTTGTTTTGAAGATGTTTTGATGTTACAAATGAAGGTCGAACAATGAGATCAAGGAGAATAAATTTATAATAAATAATATTGTTATTAATTTTATATTTAATGCATTTTTAACATCAACACGTTTAATTTACAACCGTGGAAATAATTAGTTGTAAATTATATCATTCCATATAGCAGATTTTAGTTCATGAGTGTTGCAGTTTTGCCTTCTTCTATAAGAAGATGGACCATAGCTTTAACGACTTCGTTGTGGACTATACCTGATTTCTGTAACCACAAACAAACGTGAAGAGATAAAAAAGATTAGGCCTGAGCTACTTAGTGGGGGATCTAACAAAGGATTGAACATGTATGTAACCTGGGGTTTTCGGATGAGATCTTTCAGAATGGAATCAAGGGTTAACCGAAGCTCTTTGAACAAAACCACGGGTTTAAGCTGGTGCTGCTAGCTTCAACCACCCATCAATAGTGACTGATCCACTCTGTCATAAAAGGTAAGGCTTTTAAGGTTAAGAGCACATAGATCAAGTATCCAACAGTAATCGTCAAATCGTTTTGTAAAGTTATGTTACTAAAAACTCTGCAAAAACTCTTAGGCGCTGGACATTAAGACCCAAGATCTCTGTGTGACATGACATGATTCCATCTTTTGTTTCGATCTTTATTTCGATAACAGCAAGACATGATTAACAGTACCTGACGATGAACATCAACTGAGCCACCAAAAAGTAGAATGGAGAAAGGAGAAACAATGGTCGTATCTCGCAGATATACTACTTTCTTTGTTTCGACCTACGAGAACAAGAACGTTGATTATATTATCTGTGATTCGATATGTTTACTATTTTAGACCATAATCTGCATTCTGACCAGTCACCATATCCAAAATGAAGGTAACTCTGAAATTCTGAGGCAAGTAAATCTGAGGGATAAAAGTAAAAGCAAATGCTTCAAATCAAAACTAAAGTTACCTTCTCAAGAAAAGGATATTGAAAGGCTTTGCAGTTTTTGTTTATAGAGGTTTCATGGATATGAACTTCCCTTCTGCCATCATGCCATACTGAATAACGCTGTGTTTCTTTTTCTGTCTTTGTAAAACGGTTAACCAATCCCTCTGCAATATTCGGACATAGTCCCGCACATAATATTGCCTGTACAAATTGGAAACTGAACTCATGTACTGACCAAATATTAACACATAAAAAAAACTAGAGCTAAGGTTCATGATAACAAAATTCTCATACTGAATACATATTGAAAGGTTGAGTTTTATCAGTAAACCAAACATCAAGATTGTCCTTCCTTCTCTGCGGGCACTATGATAAGAAGCAAAATAGTAATATTTGGTCAGATTTCATTATACAAACATGGGTTTTTTTCTGCCTAAGCTTATTAACATGATGGAACTTGATGTTGGTGTATCGAAAACTTGATAACAGTCATAACAATGTTTTAGTGCATATGTGATCGATAGTTCAGATGTCGTAAGATAAGTTACCTCGCCTGTTTTACTTTTAGGAAGATTGATGAGCCCGACTTCGGCAAGTAAAGTGCCAAACTCTATTCTCAAGTCTCTGTAATAACAAATAAGTAAAGATCAACTAAGATGCATTTAAGTTACCGGAACAGAAATCAAAACAAAATAGTTTCGCTTTCCATCAAAGTACAATGTACCTTATCACCCACATCACTGAGCTGCTCAAGAACTTTGATTCACAGAACCTCTCTGCAGCTTGAATTCCTTGCTGAAGACACAACAAACACATAAAGCACGTCAGGTTTGCGTAAGATCCAAGCCTATGTTTCAAGGGTTCATTTTTAGAGGACAATGTGACAGCTTCCTCCATAACCCTCTAGATTATCCATACCACATCCACTAATCTT